ACCCTCGGCGCGGGTTCCGACAGGGGCGCACTCCGCCCGTGCCCTAGACCGCGCCAGGGCAGGCCCCCGAGCAACGAAGTTCGAGAAAGCGGGAAAGGGGGAGGCACTTGCACCTTCCCCAACCCAGAAAAGCGATCACCAGATATGCAGGAGGAGGAGGAGGAGGAGGAGGAGGAGCAGGAGGAGGAGGAGGAGGAGGTGACGACGGAGGAGGAGGAGGAGGAGGAGGAGGAGGAGGAGGAGGAGGAGGAGGAGTTCGCTTGAATGGGCTCGAGACGAGGCGAGACGAGGCCCCCCCCCCCCGCGCACCCCACCCACCCCCCTCGGCACCGCGCGCGGCCAGGCCGCGCAAGCAGCGCCGCAGGGGCGCGGAGCCCGACGCCCCGCGCGAGGTCGGCGGGCTGTCCCGGGCGAGCCCGCCCGCGGGAAAAACATAAAGATTTGCGGCGCGCGGCGGCGGCGGCGAGGGCGGCGGCGTCGGCGGCGCTATCGCGACGGCGCGAGGCACGAGGTCCGCCTGCTCATCAATCAGCATCATCATCAGCAGCATCATCATCATCAGCAGCAGCAACATCATCAGCAGCAGCAGCATCAGCATCAGCATCAGCATCAGCATCAGCATCATCATCCTCGCCAGCGTCGTCTTTATATGCATACTCATCATTATCATCATCATCATCATCATCATCATCATCATCATCATCATCATCATCATCATCATCATCATCATCATCATCATCTGACATCCGCAGCAGCAGCAGCATCTTCATCTTCATCAGCATCCTCATCATCATCATCATCAGCAGCAGCATTCCAATCATCATCATCAGCATCAGCATCAGCGTCAGCATCGACAACATCCTCATCATCAGCAGCACAGGCATCATCATCTTCACCCTCATCATCATCATCATCAGCAGCATCATCATCAGCGTCATCTCCATCATCAGTGTCACCATCAGCAGCAGCAGCATCACCATCATTAGCATCAGCATCGTCATCAGTATCGTCATCACCATCATCATCATCATCATCATCATAATCAGAATCATCATCATCATCATCGTCGTCATCGTCATCGTCATCGTCATCGTCATCATCCTCATCATCATCAGCATCATCATCAGCAGCAGCATCATCGTCATGGTCGTCCTGGTCGCCGTCCTCATTACCAGCATCATCATCGTCATGACACCCATCATCCCCATCGCCCCATCGTCGTCCGCCATCCTCTTCCCCGGCCCTCCTCATTATTATAGTTTTCCTCATCATCATACAAGGTGAGGGTTCGCCCTCCGCTCTGGATGTGTTTGGCCCATTGGTTCCGGGCGTGTCAGTGGAGTTCGTCTCGAGGCTTGCTTGCCAGTGACGGATTGCTGCTTGTCTTCAGTCCATCAGCATGTGATACTGCACGAGGCTGTGCTTCTCTGGTGCCAATAGCGTGGCGTTCTGGTATGGTCGGCGGCGGCTCCTCATCAACTGGCGCGTGGGCCTCGTCTGTTGGTTGTGGCTCAGCTGGTGGCGGGGCAGCTGGGTACCATTATTTTCTTCGACCGGTATTGCAAGTGGCGCGTCTGCGAGTGGTTGCAGCCTGGTATCCCTGTCGTGCATTGGTCGGCTACTTCGGCTACTGGTTCATGGGCCTCAAGTTCCTGTTCCTGGAGCTTTGAGGGGGGCGGGGTGCTTTCCCTGCCCTTACCCAGATGCTTGAAAGGCGTGAAAGGCTTAAAAAAGGAGGAGGAGGAGAAGAAAATCAAGGGGAGGAACGGGAGAGGGAGGAAGGAAGAGTGGACCAGAGGTGGATGAGGAAGAGGATGAACAGGACGAGGGGGACGGAGGGGGAAAGGAGAAGGAGCAGCAGCATAACGAGGACGAGGACGCACCCGAGGACGAGGAGGACGAAGACTTTGACAATGGTGGCGGCTGCGGCGACGACGGTGAAGAAGGGTAGACAGGAGGAGTAGGAGGATGACGAGGAGGTGGAGACGAAGGAGGGATGCGAGGACGACGAGGGGGAGTGATGTGAAGAAGAGGAGGAGGATGAGCGGGAGAAGAGTATTCGGAGGGAGACGAAGACGACGGCGAGCAGAAGAGGCAGTGGCTCACACAAGGCAGAGGCCGAAGGGCGCACGGAGGAGGCGGCGAGGGGTTCAGATGGTGGCCGCCGATTGGGCTCGGGGATCCGCTCTCCAGGCTCCCCCTCCTCCTCGTCCTCTCCCTCCTCCCTCCTGCCTCCTCCTCCGCCTCCTCCTCCTTATGTTCCTCATCCCTCTCCCCCTTCTCCTCCTCCTCCTCCTCCTCCTCCTCCTCCTCCTCCTCCTTCTGCGTCTTCCTCCTCATCCTCCTCCTCCTCCTTCTCTTCCTCCTTCTCCTAATCCTCCTAATCCTCCTCCTCCTCCTCCCTCCTCCTCCTCCTCCCCTCATCCTCACTTCTCGCTCCTCCCTCCTCCTTCTCCTCACCATCTATTCCTCCTCCCTCCCTCTCCTCCTCCTCCTCAGCATCATCAGCATCAGCATCTCTCAGCATCATCATCGTCATCATCATCATCGTCCCTCAATAGACAGCAGCAAGCATCCTCTCTTTCGTCTCCCTCCTCCTCATCCGTCTCAACCCCATTACTCCTCCTCCCCCTCCTCCTCCTCCTCCCCTTCTCCTCCTCCTCTCCTCCTCCTTCTCCTTCTCCTCGTCATCCTCGTCATCCTCCTCTTCCCCTCCTTCTCCTTCTCCTCCCCCTTCTCCTCTTTCTCCTCCTCCACCTCTTCCTCTTCGTCATCGGCCTTTCTCCACCTCCTCCTCCTCTCCTCCTTCCTCTCCTCCTCCTCCTCCTCCTCTCCTCCGTCTCCTCTCGTCCTCACTCCTCTTCGGCCTCCGCCTCTCCTCCTCCTCCTCCTCCGTTTTTCCTCCTCCCCTTCCTCCGCTTCTCCTCTCTACTCCTTTCCTCCTCCTCCTCTCCTCCGCCTCCTCCTCCTCCTCCTCCGTCTTCCCTCATCATCCCCATCTCCCACTTCTCCTATCGACGCATCCCCCCCTCCTCCGATCCCTCCCCCTCACTATGCCTCAGCCTCCTCTTCATCATCATCCTCGTGCGTCCTTCTCCTCATCCTCCTCCTCCTCCTCATCATCATCATCATCAGCAGCAGCAGCGTCTTCCTCCCGCTCCTTCTCTTCCTCATCCTTTCCCTCCGCATCCCTCATCCTCTTCCTTCGCCTAATCCTCCTGATCCTTCTCCTCCTCCTCCTCATTCTCCTCATCCTCCCCCCCTCCGCATCCTCCTCGTCATCCCCCTCTCTTCCCCGTGCCCGTCTCATCATCCTCCTCACCCGTCCTCCTCCTCATCATCATCATTATACTCATCACAATCATCCTCCTCCTCCTCCTCCTCCGCCTCCTCATCAGCATCATCAGCATCATGATCGGCAGCAGCAGCAGCAGCAGCATTAGTCTTCGCCTCCTCCTCCTCCGCATCCTCATCCTTCTCATCCTCCTTCTCCTCCTCGTCCTCCTCCTCTTCCTCATCCTCATGTTCCTCCTCCTCCTCCTCCGCATCCTACTCATAGTCCTCCTCCACCCCCCCCTCATCCTCCTCCTCCTCATCTTCCTCCTCCTCCTCCTCCTTCTCATCCTCCTCCTCCGCCTTCGCTTCCTCCTCCTGCTCCTCGTACGACTTCTCCTCCTCCTCCTCCTCCTCCTCCTCCTCCTCCTCCTCCTCCTCGTCCGCCTCCTCCTCCTCCTCATCCTCCTCCGCGTCCTCGTCCTCCTCATCCTCCTCGCCCTCGTCATCCTCATCCTCCTCATCCTCATCCTCACCATCCTCACGTTTCTCCTCATCCTCATCATCATCATCCGCCGCATCACCATTATCATTAGCATCAGCATCATCATCAGCAGCATCAGCATCAGCAGCACCATCATCATCAGTAGCATCAGCATCCTCTGCCTCCTTCTCCTCCTCCTCATCATCCTCCTCCGTCGTCCGCATCATTAGCATCCTCGTCATCCTCCTCCTCCTCCTCCTCCTCCTCCTCCTCCTCCTCCTCCGCCTCCCTCCTCCTCCTCCTCCTCGTCTCAGGTTTCCGCATCACTTCTCATCCTCCGCCTCCTCCTCACTTTCCTGATCCTCCTTTCTCCTGTCCTTCTTTCATCCTCGTGTTTCTCGCTCCTCTTCCTCCTCTTCCCTCTCTTCTCCCTCCCATCCTCTCATATCCTCCCTCATCCTCCTTATCATCCTCGTCTCCTCCGCATCCATCCTCCTCTCCTCTCTCTTCCTCCCTCCTCCTCCTCCTCCTCCTCCTCCTCCTCCTACTCTCCTCCTCCTCCTCACTCCTCCCCCTCCGCTCCATCGTCTTCTCTCCCGATTCTCATCTTCCCCGTCTCCTCCCCCGTCAGCCCTCCCCCCTCCTCCTCACTTCTTCCTCCATCCTCTCCTCCGCCTCCTCCTCCTCCTCCTCCCCTCTCTTCCTCCTCCTCCTCCTCCTCACTCCTCATCATTCTCCTCCTCCTCTCCTCTCCTCCTCCACCTCCCCCTGCGTCGAGCCCCTCCTCATCATCATCATCACCAACATCATCAGCAGCAGCATCAGGATCACTCCTTCTCCTCCTCAACCTCATCATCCTCCTCCTCCTTCTCCTCATTATCCTCCTCGTCCTCCTCATCCTCATCATCAGCATCATCAGCATCATCATCAGCAGCAGCACCATCATCATCAGCAGCATCAGCATCGCAGTCTTCCTTCTCCTCACCCCCATCCTCCTCCTCCTCCTCATCCTCCTCCTCCTTCTCCGTCTGCTCTTCCTCCTCGTCCTCCTCCCCTTCCTCTTCATCCTCCTCCTTTTTTATCCTCCTCCTCCTCCTCCAACTCCTCCTTATCCGTCTCGTTGCTCGTTATCCTTCTCCGAGTCCTCCTCCTCCTCCTCCTCCGACTTCTCCCCCCTCACTCGTGTTCCTCCTCCTCATCATCCTCATCAGCATCATCATCATCATCAGCATCATCATCCGCCTCCTCTTCCTCTTATCCGCCTCCTCCCCTCCTCCTCCTTCCTCCTCCTCCCCCTCCTCCTCCTCCTCCTCCTCCTCATCTCCCTCATCCGTATCCCCTTCTTCCTCCGCCTCCTTCTCCACCTCCTCCGCTTCTCTCCTCCTCCGCCGCTCTCTTCCTTCTCTACATTCCCCTCTTCATCCGTCTCCTCCCCCTTCAGCCCGCCCCCTCATCCATCCTCCTCTCCTCCTCCTCCTTTTCCTCCTCCTCCTTGGGCTCCTCCTCCTCCTCATCATCAACAACAACATCATCAGCAGCAGCAGCATCAGCATCATCTCCTTCTCCTCCTCAGCATCATCCTCCTCCTCATCCTTCTCCTCATCCTCATCCTCCTCCTCCTTCTACTCCTCCTCCTTATCCTCCTCCTCCTCCTCCTCCTCCTCCTCATCGTCATCAGCATCATCCTCAGCATCAGCATCAGCAGCATCGTCATCAGCAGCAGCATCATCATCGCCTTCCTCCTCCGTCTCCTCCTCCCCATCACTCCTCCTCCTTCACTTCCTCCTCCTTCTCCTTCTCCTCTTCCTCCTCTCCTCCTCCTCTTCCTCCTCCTCCTCCTCCTCCCCTACCTCCACCCCCTCCTCCGCCTCCTCCCCCTCCTCCTCCTTATCATTATCGTTCCTTCTCCTTCTTATCCGGATCCTCCTCCTCCGACTTCTCCCCCTCGCTCGTGTTCCTCCTCCTCCTCCTCATCATCATCAGCATCATCATCAGCAGCATCACCATCATCATCAGCAGCATCATCATCCGCCTCCTCTTCCTCCTTATCCGCCTCCTCCTCCTCCTCCTCCTCCTCCTCCTCCTCCTCCTCCTCCTCCTCCTCCTCCTCCTCCTCCTCCTCCCCTGTCCCTCCTCCTCCTCTCCTCCTCCTCCTCCTCCTCCTCCTCCTCCTCCTCCTCCTCCTCCTCCTCTCCCTCATTCGCATCCCCTTCCTCCTCCGCCTCCTCCTCCTCCTCCTCCTCCCAACCCCCCTCTCCTCACGCCCTTCCCCCCACATTCCCCCCGCTCCCTCCTCCTTCTCCTCCTCCTCCTCCTCCTCCTCCTCCTCCTCCTCCTCCTTCTCCTCCTCCTCCTCCTCCTCCCCCTCCCTTGAACTCGGCTTTAGGTGTGTGTGGCGGCACCCGCGTTTTGAAGCCTGCTCTTGCGGCTTGCGGCCCGCCCCAGCAGAATGTCGGACTTTAAGTTTTCGTGTTAGTGCACGGTGCTCGAGGTCAGATATATGATATCCGGCAGCTCAGGGATGTGCTCGATAGGAGTTGGATTCCTGAACGAGGTGTTTTAGGAATTCCAGTGGTGCATCTCTGTCGCCTCCGGGGGGGAATATGACCGGAGCCCGTTTGGGGTGACGTTAACCCAGCCGGCGTTTTTTAGATTTGGCTTATTTCGAGTTCGAGCCTTCATCCAATGGGTGCGGTGCCGTGATTGCTGCCACTCAGTTCTACGGTAGGCGACGCCCCTATGCCTTTTCCTCCGCTCTGGAATGGTGCGACGCCGGGATGTCCTTCGTGGACTCCGGGTTGTCTTGACCAGTCCGTGGACACCGGGATGCCCTCCGTGGACTCTTGGTTGTTCTTGCCTCCCTTCCTGCCTTCCTCCTTCTGCTTTCTCTTTTTCTCTCTATCTTTGTCCTCG